TGGTGAAGGAGTATTCAGATAAAGGGTTTATTTAATTTGTGAGATTAAAAAAAAAAAAAAAAAGGTAGGCTCCTCCAGAAAAGTTTACAGAAGATAGCAGAAGAATGTGGTCAGGGCCACTGATCTGTTTGGAAAGAATGTAAAAGTTCAATGTGTCCCTGAGAAAGGATTTTTCACGCTGCCTTACAAGCGGCTGGAGGGTCACTGGAAGGTTTCCCACTAGGCTAGCGTTTCTGCGTTCTCTGTCTAAACTGCCATATCCACCAACTTCAGCTCTCTCATGGGTGGAACTGTGACGCTCGCCATCGCGTTGGTGACGCTACTGCTGTTGCTGGTATTAGGTGCAGTCGAGTCGGCCCCATCTCATGGTAACTCCATGCTCAATGGAGTGAACTGCCACCCAGTCCTGTGGCATCCTCCTGACGGAACCATCGTAATCCATAGGGCTTTCACTGGCTGATTTTCAGAAGTAGGTCACCAGGCCTTTCTTCCTGGTCTGCCTTTGTCTGGAAGCCCCACTAAAACCTGCTCAGCCTCAGAGCAACATGCAAACCTCCACTGACAGACCAGCAGAGGCTGTGAACGAGGTGCAAGCCCGGGAATCAAACCCTGGTCTCCCACATCGAAGGTGAGAGTTTTACCACCGAACCACCACTGCTCCCTGTGCTTATGCTACTTTTTTTTTTTTTTAAACAAAGGCTTGCCTTTGTGTTTTTGTAGAAAGAACAAGTCAGTGAAAAAAAATTTTCTTCTCCCCTTAGACAAACTGACCTTGGCAGTTGTTTAGATTAATGGTAAACTTTTGGGGAGCGGATGTATAAGGCCTCTGTGACAGCGAGGCAGCGTGCACAGGCGAACTTAGAAAGAACGCCTCGGCATCCCCCCAGGAAAGCGAGGGCAACGGTACCCAGCTTACACACATCTGATCTCAGAGCTTCCTTGCTCAGCAACACCTAGTCGTAATCTGGCAGCTGGAGACGCGCGGTGGGTGGGAGGCGCCCTGACAGGGGGTTTCACACACCACAGCTGCCTATCTGGAATCCTGGCAGGGTTTAGGAACTGTTCTCCCTGTTTCATCAGCGCATTTCAGGCAAGAGCACCATCTAACTCTCGGTAGTGCTTCTAGTAGAGAGAGCCATGGGAGAAAGGGACTCTGAGATCAACAAAGCCTGTGGGGACAGCCAATAGGGGATGGAAGTGGGGACAGAAAAGGTGAGGTGAGGTGAGAGATGGCAAGGACTGGCCAGTTGGCACGATACAGAACCTACAATGAAACCTGCAGCAGACAGCCAAAATCTATCCAGCCCTATTAGTGCTCCAAAATGGCTCCTTGTTAAGATGCTCCCCCCACCTCCCAGTCCCACCGCAGCTACGAGACAGCTTTTGATGTACAATTTCTCCTGCTTTGTTGTTGTTGTTAGTTGTCAACAAGTCAATTCCTACTCATGGCAACCCCATGAGGTCGTGAAGCAGATCTCCAGGCCTGACTTCCAAGGTGCCTCTGGTTGAGTTTGAACTGCCAACCTTTCAGCTAGTAGTCAAGCACTTAACTCTTTGTGCTACCCAGGGCCTCCTCCTGCTTCACCTGGATGAAAACTGTGAAGAACAGCGGAGAGATACCTAGTGAACCCCAAGAGATGGACCTCGCAGCCCTCAGATATGGCCTGAGCCATAAACCCATGTTCACAGTCATTAAGAATTGATATTGATGTTCCTTTTAGCAGCCATCAGGCATAGACACAGCAGCTCTGACCCCTCCACTCTAACCATCACCTTCAAAATGTGCACCCAGGCCTGGGATTTCATGGAGCTCTAACAGGTAGGGTACCAGGCCTAGTTTCTCTGTATTTGTTTTGTTCAAGGCTCACAGCTCTCTAACATGAACAAACTCTTGCTTCTACTGTGAGCTGCTAAAAATAACCACTGGTCAACAACTCTAAAACCCTGATTATGGGCTTTGTATATTTTTATTGGCTTCTTTATGATTCTTTTTTCTCTCACTGAAAAAAAAAAAGTATTGGTTAAGAAGAAATAATCCATCACCTTAATTACACCACTTTTCAGTTCTTTCTTATTTTGTTTTCCCTTTACAGTTTTTCATTTTCAAATGAAAATTTTCAAGATGAATTTTTCAAAGCTCAAATCCTAGGAAAAGATACATGACAACACCATGTTTATAGACAAGGCTTCAAAAAAAAAGAAAAAGAAAAAATGCACCCAGGGTACATTGTTTACAAAGTGACTCATCACAGCAATTACAAAGATCTTTTTAAAAATCACATGACCATACAGCTCATACATACTCTCTTCTCCTTCTCTCTTCTCCCCAGTTCTCTATTCCTCCACACCTTATTTCTCTTCATTACTGACTCACCATGGTACACAATCATAGTACCCCCACTAAGCAGAAAACAGGCGATTTGAATAAAAAGAAAATGTTTTAAGGCAAGAAATGAGTAATAGGCAGAAAAGGAAAGACACTTCATAGCCTAAAAGATAAGAATACCTAGTAAGTCCAGGTCCAAAGGCCACTTTTACTACATTTCCCTATTTACCTAGTACACATTGGTTGCTCCCAAAGAATGAGATTATTTCTCTCATGGTTAATTTACAATGGGAAAGAAAACCCAAATTCTAAAACCACACTAGCATTGTAAATGTCTGTTGTTAAGAGCGTTTTGCCATACCTTGTCTGCCCAAACCTGATCTCTCCTTGTTTCCCCTTTCCAATGAAAGGGTGTTAGATACCAAGGCATGGATGCATTGATCAACAGAGGGTTCCACTGTCCTACCCAGGAGAGGAAACTTATGCCTGTTAGTTGGTTAGATGGAACATGGGTTCCTCTTTCCTCCCCAAATGGACAACTTTGCTTAAATTAAGATAGAGTGGCATTCTGAGGTCAAACAGGCTCCGTGCTAAGCAAGAAGAACTTTCAGCCCTGGGTTCATCTGGACAGCTACCAACTTGAAACGCCAGTTGTGATCACAGTTGTCACTCTCAGTTCCAACTCTGGTCCTGACCCTGTGTTCCTTGGCCAAGGCTCTGCTCCTTCACACTGGGTTTTCTCCTTTCAAAGATGCTCATTTTCCAAGACAACAGCTACAGACCAATCCACACAACTCCCTGAATTACCTTTGCTCAACCCCCTAACCAGCTCATCGTGGGCACACTGGAAATTCTTACCTTCAAGTCACTGAGGTGTTTATTTTGGCTAAATGAGCACGGCTGCTCTGATTATACATTATTTATATATATTTTTGACAGAGAACATTACTGGACTGTGAAACCTCATGGTAAACACAGCTTCAAGGAGAGTCCACGTGCCCTGGTTTGTTTATTCTCTTACGGAAGCAAAGCACTTAGCCACTGCACTTGTCAGACTTGGCCAGGACATCCATGCTCGCAAAAAAAACTGTCGGTGGCAGTCGCTGGCAAGACTTCAACCAGCCTTTCTTGGAAGCTTGAAGTCTCAACAACCCGATAAGAGTCAGGTGAAACAACATAAGCAGGTCTCACTTCACCAATGCAAGCATTACCTTGGGTCCCGAAGGTTAGAACTTGAATTCAACTATAATCCAAGCTGTTCAGTTTTGCTTTCAGCTTTCCTTCCAGTACTTTGAATTCACATTCATATAGATCTCACACCAAAGATTATTAATATGTGTACATGAATATTCTTCATACCTTAAAATGCAGAATGGGCAGGGGGGACGGGGCTCACGGAGCATGGAAAGGTAAGAGAGAAAGGAAATGTGTTCTATTTTGATCTATCACTCTTTTCCATTCTGCTGCCTCCTTCCTCATCTACTGTCTTAGAGCTACGGGTGATGATAGCAAATTAGGCAAGATGATTTGGAGTCAGAGTCTTTCTAGGTGGCAAAGCAGGAATTCATCTCTCTCTCTAGGCACAAGCTGGACAGATTAATGAGAGTCAAGATAACAAGTCTAGACGTCAGATATAAAAATGACTTCCCTTATCTCTGAGATGCTGTCACCTTGGGGTTAAACCCAGACAGTACAAGCCCTCATGATTGTTTGTGTCAAATGGGTTATGAAAAAACCCTGCCACAAGGTAAGGATGAGTGTCTTTGGTTTTACACTCAGGCCAAATGAAGGGACACACTTAGAGTGGCTTCTGATAATGTTTAGCATTTGGAAGCTGGGTGGAAACTTCAGCTGTGCCAATCAGCTCTTCTGCAAAGAGGGCAAAACGTAAAGCCCATGCATTATAACAGCACAGATATTTACCGTCATTCAAGGTTGGAAGTCTTTTTTTTCTGGGTGAAACAAGAATCCCCAAATTCTTCTCTTTTTGCTCTGCTGTTTATTATAAGGAAGAAAATGCCCTTCTCTGTTTTTCACTCCCGTCCTGAGTTTCAAGTGCTCTAACTCCCATCATTGAATGTATCTCCTTGTTCCCTGTACCAGACACCAGCTCCTCAATTCCGCAGCTCTTCTTCCTTACGATAATCACTCCTCATGCTTTTTCTCTAACTTTCTTCCCTCACCCAGCTACCAACCAGTGCACCTCACTGAGGGCTAACGGAGACTGCTTCCTTGCTAACCTGGAACTAGAAAGAAACTGTCTTCAGGCTAAAATAAATCATTACCACCTCACTTCACTTTTAATTTACTGCTGGGTTTGTTTGTTTGTTTGCTTGCTTTTTGGTTCCATCTTTCCACAGCATCTTCTTTCTCACCACTCATGCACTTTTAGCCTCATTGCCCCTCGCTGAACAATGCAAAGCTGAAAGGTTTATCTGTAACCTAGTTGTCTCTATTATAGGTTTCTAAACTTTAATTAAACAAGAGACAGTGAGGATCTCAATGCCCCTTCCCTGCATCTGGAGGTGTTGGTGGTGCCACCTAGTGTTGGGAAGGTGTGGCGTCTATTTTCTTTCGCAAGAGTTGTCAACTATGCAGGCTTATTTCCCCCCACCAATTTCACATCACATGGGGGAAAGGAAAAGGCATGCAATTTTTTTTTTTTTTTTTTTACCTTTAAAATTCTCACCTGCAAAAGCTGAGATGGGTTCTAGAAAAGAAACAAGAAAAACTAGGGTTAGATAAGGGGATGCAATTGCGGGTGACTGAGGTGTTTCTGGAATACCCTCTGAGTTTCCCATTTCCTCCATGTGACCCAGGCTGTCTACTACAATGTCATCATCACTGGGCAGGGTGGGAGGGGAGACCAGCTCAAAGTTGCTTTGAAACAAAAAGTCCTTCATAGAGAAATGGGTCCCTGAGGCATTGTAATCAGTCACTTACCGCTGATTACTTTCTCAGAGCCTGAATCGCTTTTATATGCCCGGGGCCTGAGAGAAGCCCAGAGGGACTGGGGCGGTCTCGGGTGCTCTGACATCACCAGGCACACACATCCCCGAGACCATGTGCCAAGAAAAGCACTCGTCAGGTTATTAAAGTCACTTTGCCGACTGAATGTGGGTGCCAGTCCTTTTCAAGATTGCCCTCTTGCTTTTCTGTGGCTCGGATGGGAGTTGGTCTGGGGGCCCCTAGAGTGTCCCCTTCTGCAGAAAAGGCACTGAGTAAAATGTGTGTATCTCAGGTGGGCTGCCTGTTCAGCCGCTCTGACCAGGCGACTGTTGCGGTACCCTTCCTGTGCTGCTCGCCTGGCATGCTGTACTTAGTCTCACAACTAGGATGCTGGCCGTTAGAGGTATTAGCTTTAGAGCAAAATCTAAAATTTGACTTCATATGCTATAGTTTGCGTTGCAATTCATTCATGTAAAAGAACTACCCAGGTAATTGTGTTATCATTCTTATGTAACATGTGGACTATTTTTGCTCCCCAGTGAAGACTTCTATTAAATCCATCAAACCTGCTGGCATGTAATTCTGACTGGCAGTTGCTCTCATCCTCTAGAATTTTCTTTGCTAAAAGCTGGAGTTGGATGATGAGGTCTTGGCACCCTGGATCTCCGTACACTTAGTGCATATCTATTTCTGATTGGGAACAGGGATATAAGCCTTCACATCTCCACCCCTCCCATCCTGAAGTCAGCCTGACACCCACACCTCACCTCCCACGTGGACTGCTGCTGCCCTCCTCACTGGCTAAACAGTGAGTCTGAAATGGCACGCTGCCTCATCTGATGTACCCTAGCCTTGGTGTCTAATTTGGAAGGGGCATGGAGAGATGGATGTTCACGTACCCATGCAGTTCTCCAGCGGGACATCGGTGCTTATCCGAATATCATCGATGGCAATCTCTCCTGCACGTCCTTTTCCTATCATTCCCTCAAACACGATCTAGAAGCCAGAGGAGAACAAGTTATTGTTAACTGAGCTTCCTGGCCCAAAGAGCAGAAAGACTTCTAATTTTCTGTTAACTGTAGTTTGAAATGTGTGTATGTAGGCATATGGGTATGGAAATGTGTGTCTGCACGTGTCTGCACCTGGTACACATCTGTTGACCACACGGCTGCAGCACTTGAAATCTTAATTTAAAAAGAGTTAGTTCAAGTCAAATGCATATTTGAGAGGATTGGAAAAAAAGAAAAAGAAAAAAGAAAAAGAGCCCAACAAGGTGATGGATATCATTGCCAGTAACTAGAATGTATTGATTAAAAGGACTATAATCAAAGGTGTGTTTAAGAGAGGAGTGAAATTTCCCTAGCTATTTTTGAGGTTCCTTTCTCATAAATCTTTCAAATGCCCAATCTAGGCGATTGAAAGCTCAGAGGACATGAACATGTGGGGGTAATGTGAGAAATACAGCACACACGTTTGGATCGCCTTGGGGGTGACACTGCCTTATGGCTCCATTATTACGGCTCTATGATTCCCACAGGGAGGGAAAGGATTTGCTCTTTCACCAATAGTTTATTTAGCACTTACTATACGCCAGGCACAGGACAGTTATAGAAAGTAATGTCTAGACCCTCTGGCTGGAGAAGCTCACCACATAGGGGGTGAGACTAAAATGCAAACAGATACTTAGAAGCCAGGGCATTAAGGGGCAATAAGGAGCCCTGGTGGCATAGTGGGTAAGTGCTTGGCTGCTAATGGAAAGGTTGGCAGTTAGAACCCCCTGACCACTCCACAGGAGAAAAAACCCAGCAATCTGCTCCCGTAAAGATTACAGCCTTGGAATTCCTATGGGAGCAGTTCTCCCGTGTCCTATAGGGTCACTATGAGTTGGAATCAACTCGATGGTAACACTTTTTGGGGGGTTTGCAGATGTGTAAGTGGGAACCAGATGGGTGTGGGAAGGCTCTCAGGACAGCTTACAACCTCAGGAGAGTGACTGCCGGCTCCACACAGAAGCCCCTCTGCTCTGTGGTCTCAAATCATTCCCCACTCTCTCCCTCCCCAGGTTCCCTCTGTAAACTAGCACATGTCCGCTGGCAAGCTGAGTGAGCAGTTGGCCGCCTCACCAGCCATCTGTTGCTGCTTCTCGTCTGGGAGGAGCAGGTTAATGCTTTGGCTGGTTCTCAGTCACCTCTTCCATAGCGCGTCTACTCCTACCCAAGTTTCAGCCGCAGCTGTGCATACCCATCTGTGCCTCAGTCTCTTGCTCTGTGAGACAGAGATAATGGAGCCCAGCTCGTGGAGCTGTGGAGAGAGAAGCCACTTGTCTGGGAATCTCACGGGTCTGCCGGCCACAGAGTGCAAACAGCATCCCCCGCCCCCTTCCTGTGTTCACAGTCCCTGGGACAGGTCTGGGAGGTTGTTCCCATTTCCTCTCGGATTCTAAGGAGGCTCCACAGGCCTCTTCGCTTGTGTGTGGAGGGTTTGTTTGTGTTTATTTCCCTGGCTCCTGTGTGCCTTCCTCAGCCTACCTGATAGCAATCTAAAATAAAATGGAGAGAAGAAACATTTGTTGGAGAAGATTTCAGCAATATAAAAGGCAATAGAGGAACAAAGAACCAAGTCTGGGTGTAGAGATAGGCACATTCTGAATAACAAATAAGAGTGTCATTTAGTTGCCATGACAACTGGAGAAACACAATGAAAACAGCAGGGCTTAACCACGTTCCCTAATGATGAATGGGCACGGCCCTTTGAAATATTGAAACACAGATCACAACGACTCCCTCGCATGTCCGCACCCGAGTCTCTTCACCACCCCACCTGATACTCCATGTCGTAGCTGGGCAAGATGATCCGCCCGTGTTTCCACTCGCTGCCCTGGTCCTCGCGGACGACCCACAGGAGCTTGCTCTCCTGGCTGGCTTCCCGCACCACCTGCAGCGTCACCCCGCGGCTGCCCATCGCTTGATACTGGAATTCCATGCACACAGGGCTTCGAGGCAGGTGGACGGGCGGGCTGATGAGCCGCGCGTACTGGCCCTCTCTCCGGTCGTCACTCTGTAGCCGCAGGAAATTCTTGTCATCTGGGGGATGCAAACCCAAACACAGGTTCTTGGTAAATGCTTGAGAAAGACACCCATTACAGCTGTGGCCCTTCCAGGGGAAAACTGGGGCTAGACTTTGGGTGTCTTACGCCTGCCTTTGCCTTCCAGGCCTTGTGCCCCTTTCTTGGTCCTTGGGTGGCACAAGTAGTTTGCACTCGGCTATTGATCTAAAGGTTGGTGGTCTGAACTCAGTGGTGCTGCAGAAGAAAGCCCTGGTGACCATTCCTTAATGATTACAACTAAGAAAACCAGGTGGAGCCCAGCTCTACTCTGTAACACACAGGGTTGCCAGGAGTCAGAATCCACCTGATAGCAGCAGGGTTTTCTGCAGTCCCTTTCTTAAGGGTCCTTTAGGACCTTGATTCAAATCCCAAGTCCTCCAGAAGCCCCTTCCCAACATCTGTAAGTCAAATCAATCCCTGTTGCCTACTTCTCTGTGTCCTGTTCTCCGTATCTCTTTGCTCAGTACAGCTTATGTCTTAGCTGTTTTCTCACACTAGATTCGCAGAGGTCAGACCCATGTCTTATTCATCATTAGCTTCCTTAAAGGGCCAATGAAGTCCACTAGCCTGAATTATAAAGGAAGAGTTTTCAGAGGGAAGGTGGTGGCTAAATTGGAAGATGTCTCTGGCCAGGTGATTTATACTTCAAGGCTTTGTCATCTTGCCTGGGCACTGTCCAAATGGAAAACATTTAAAACCTTCTCTCTCCTCCAGTGCTACTAAATGATGCCTGGACTCTAGGAACTGTGACTGCAATTCAGAAAGTCCAGCGTCAACTTGAAGCAGAATAGGGAATGGTGGCTAAATAGGGGAAGATCCAGAGGGCCTGAGAGCCCACTTCATTCCTGATCCTGCCTGGAGAGGCTTGAATTGGTGGCCTTTCTCAGAGAGTCAGGCACACTCAGCTCCACTGATAACAGAGCTGTCATTATCATAAATGAAGACTATATGTTTAGCAGAGAATATATACATTCTGGGAAATCAAAGTTTCCATCATTCAAATGTTGGGGAACGGGTTTTGCAGCTGAGTGGTTTCAAATACATCAAACAGCATGCAGAGGGTATGGTCCCATGACTGTCGGCAGACCCATGCCTTGCAGACACAGGTGTTGGGGCTGTATGTGCAAATTCTACTTGTGCAGGAACTCTCTAGCCACTTGTTCAGAGGCAAGGGGGCATTTGAAGAGAAAGACTCACTGCCTCTTTTTGGGCCTCACAGGTAGGAGCATCTTAGTCTAAATGCTTCTGCAAGATGGTAAGGATATTTTTCCACCAAATATCCAGCATGGAATGTGGGACACCTCAGCCACCTCAGGGTCAGCTCTGTTATGGTAATCTGAGGCATGGCATGTGCACAGAGCTCTCTAATGCAACAAAGATTATGAACATGTTACTTCTCTCCCTGTTAGACTCTCCAAGATTACTTCTCCAGATGCCATCCTCCTCAATAGTCAAATCAGGCCAGTGCAGGATGCATATTTGGGATTCCAGTTTGTCTCCTCAACCATGTCTGTCCATGTGCCTCACAACATGTGACCTCTTCAAGGCCAAAATCAGCACAGATAACTAAAAAGGCAGTTGGCTACAGAAGAACATTTGGAGCCCTGGATGCCCAACAGTTAAGCACTTGCTGCTAACCGAAAGGTTGGCAGTTCAAATCCATCATCTAGTGGTTCTGTAACCTGGCAATATGCTGCCATCAACATTACAGTTTGAAAAACCCTATGGGGCAGTTCTACTCTGTCTCAAGGAAAAAACTGACTTGACTGCCCCCAACAACAATAATCTGCTAAGGGAGCAGACACTGATGCTACAAACCAGACACTCAAACATCTACTCACCCTACTCTTCCCCTATCAGACATTATTACTATTGCCGTTAATGATAATAATTATGACTCCTATCTGCATAATGTTTTATGAGTTATAAAGCATATCCATATGCATTATTTCATTCAATCCTTGCTATAAGCTTGTGAACAATGTATTATTAATCTTACTTTGCACATGAGGAAACTGAGGCCCAGGAAACTGAGGAAAGTTAACGTCACTTGTCCATGTTAGAGAGGCTAGTAAGCAGTGGAGCAGAGACTCAGGCTGGAAAGCAGGTGTTCCACCTTTCTGCCATGAACTCTTTATTTCAGCTGTGCTACAGGCACCTTGCCCCCCACTTTTGCAATCACACTCTATTCAAAGTGAAGCGGCCTCCCCACTGGGCCTGTTGCTCGCCTTTCTTCTTACCTGCAATTCCTCACTCCCATCACACCACTAACCCATCTCTTTCACTAGTTCTTCTCCAAGCCATTGTGGCACATGCAACATTAATTCTCTGTTCTCTCAACAACTCTAGCATTTACTGACTGTACTGCTAATTTTATCTTGTTTTTAAAAGGATTTGAGGCCTTTTTCTATGGATTTCAGCAGGTAACAACCCACTGCCTTCCGTTAGAATTTAACTGTTCCCTGCATGTCTTTCTTACCATCTCAGTTAGGTGGTCCTGCTCTCACACATATAAGGCCTCAATATTTCTTCTCCTTACTCCTAGACAGTTTATATACATATAAAAAACCAAACTCACTGCCGTGGAGTGGATTTGACTCATAGCAACCCCTCCTTGGGTTTCTAAGGCAGTATCTCTGTGGAAAAAGATTGCTTAATCTTCTTCCTTCTGAGGAGTGGCTGGTGGATGCACCCCTAGATTTCTGGTTACTAGTCAAGTGCCTTAGGCACTAAGCCACCAAAGCTCCAAAATATATATATATATATGTGTGTGTATGTGTATATATGTATATGTGTGTATGTATATGTATTTGTATGTTGTTGTTATATTGGGTTGAGTTGGCCCTGACTCATAGCGACCCCTCCTTGGGTTGCCGAGGCAGTATCACTATGGAAGTAGATTGCCCAACCATCCTTCTGAGGAGTGGCTGGTGGGTTTGAACCGCCAGCCTTCTGGTTAGCAGTCAAGTACCTTAGGCACGATGCTACCAGAGCTCCTATGTATATATGTACATATATACATATATACACATACACACACACACACACATATATATATACGTCTCTGTGTGTATGTATGTATAGCAGTGGTGGTTCAGTGGTAGAATTCTTGCCTTCCATGCAAGAGACCAGAGTTCAGTTCTTGGTCAATGCACCTGATACGTAGCCATCACCTATCTGCCAGTGGAGGCTTGCTTGCATGTTGCTATGATACTGAAAAGGTTTTAGTGAGGCTTCTAGAACAAGATGGACTAGGAAGAACAGCCCAAATCACCCAATGAAAACCTTACGGATCCTAACAGTCAGATGCACAGACTGCTAGGAGGTCATGGAGACATCTGCAGGATGGGACAGTGTTTGGTTGTTGTGCATGGGGTCACCATGAGTTAGGGTTCCACTTGACAGCAGCTAACAACAACATATATCCTGTTGCTGTCAAGTCGAGTTTGACTCATAGAGACCCTGCAGGACAGAGGACAGAGTAGAACTGCCTCATAGGGTTTCCAAAACTGTAATTGTTATGGGAGTAGGCTGCCACATCTTCCTCCTGTGGAGAAGGTAGTGAGCTCCAACCTCTGATCTTTAAGTTAGCAGGGGAGCACTTAACCAGTTCACCACCAAGGCATATATATATATATATATATATATATATATATATATATATAAAATACACATTAAATGTGTGTGTGTATGTATATATATATATACACCAAACTCACTGCCATGGAGTCTATTCTGACTCATAGAGACCCCCATTGGGTTTCCAAGGCAATAAATCTTTACAGAAGTAGATTCCCTCCATCTTCCTTCCATGGAGCAGCTGGTGGGTTTGAACTGCCAACCTTCTGGTTAGCAGTCAAATGTCTTAGGCACTGTGCCACCCGAGCTCCATATACATATAGATAGATACATATATAAATATGTATGTATGTATACATAAGTTCCCCCTGCCCCAAGAAAATTGTGTTTCTGTGAATATATGGCAAAGGGACGGATAAATGATAGGAGGCTATGTATTGGAAACAAGGACAGAGGGAGAATCAGCTAGCAGAGGCAATCCCTCAGAGTCACATAATCTCTTCTCAACTCCCTCCTACCCTCCTGAGCCAACAGCCCTTTTCAAAGGTGAATGAATAATAACAGGGTGACCTGGGCAACAACCAGTCCACTAAACTACCAGGGAGAACTCCCAAATGCTCCCATGCTCCTGGTAATCTCCAAGCCTTTCCTGTTTCTACCTCATACATAAAGGAAACCAAATTTCAGAGACTTATTATTCAGTCTTCTTCTTTCACAGTTTCACAAATAAGACCTACTTGCTGACTGAAAACTGCTTGGCAGAAATACTGTCACTTGTGTGAATTTATATTCTTAAGCGTCGGGGGACTCATAGCGTAATGGTTAGAATTTAGGAAGTAAAATGTGTGTGGAGGTGTGAAGAACTGGGCTAAATGGGTTTTATCTAGGTCTGTTCTATTTACCCATCCTGTCACTAAAACTTAAGTCACAATTAGGCCAAAGGTTTCACAGACTGCCTCTCCCAGGGACCCTAGACATCCCTCTCTCCTCTTCTCATATTTCCTCTCCTCTCCTCTCTCTCTTACAATAAGATGATAATCGCTATGTATGATTTAAAGGACCATTGGAAGACCAGGGAGTTAATGCTAGTGGCGTGCTAAGCACGAGCAGCTGAAGGATCATAATTCAGTGCTGACATCTGAGCTAATCCACTGGTTTGCAGAATCTCAAGACAAGCAGGCCTCTGAATTTCACTTAGTTAAATCATTTGTGCCCCACTTGTCTGTTAAGTGCTATGAGCTCCAGGGAAGAAAGATGATATGTAAATTTAAGGAATTAGCAGTAGACATCAGTCAGAGGGACGCTGAGTTGCAAGGCGTCCCTGCCTGTCACTGAGAGAGGCCTGATTAGATCCAGGGACATCATGAAGGAATGAATGGTTCAGATCAGGAAAGGCAG